AGTTATAAACACATCCAAAATTAACATTGTAGTCCCTCAGACAACCGTGTAAGGTTATAACAGTCTAGAGTTATAAACACTTCCAAAATTAACATTGTAGTCCAGTGGACAGCCCATGTAGGGTTATAACAGTCTAGAGTTATAAACACATCCAAAATTAACATTGTAGTCCCTCAGACAACCGTGTAAGGTTATAACAGTCTAGAGTTATAAACACTTCCAAAATTAACATTGCACACCCACTGTTTATACAAAATTGAGTCCCCCTGGCCCAAGGATGCTCCAGGCTAAATTAGAATAATATCCCTTAATCCCTACTTCTCCTATTACACAATGTTAACATATTTGACTATTTGATCGTTTGGCATGATTTAAGCCAGTTATAAGAATATTAATACTGGTTTGAGCACAAAATCCATGCTTGATTTAATTTGTACTGGGGTATCATCTATAGAATTTAGTTATTAATTTGCATAGAAACAAGAGGCCCATGGGCCTTAACGGTCACCTGAGTATTACAGTATTTATTTTTGCTGTTGAAATATGTACCAATTTGAGTAAAAAATTGTTAAGTATAACGTTAACTTAAGTTTGTCAGGACCATGAGCTGATCATTCCTAGACCGATTTTCAGTTAGATCGGCCTATTAGAACTTTGAAATAGGTATTTTCAAAATAGCGGCCATGGCTGCCAAATTGACTTTGAAGTTTGAAATAGTTTTTCAAAATGGTGGCTGTGGTGGCCATATTGGATTTCTGATAGACCCGAAAAGTAACAACACTTTGTCAGGACCATGAGTCGATCATTCCTACCAAGTTTCAGTTCAATCGGCCTAGCAGAACTTGACTTTAAGTTTGAAATAGTTTTCAAAATGGCGGCCGTGTCACCAGAAAAATAACAACACTTTGTCAGGATCATGATTCAATCATTCCTACAAAGTTTCAGTTCAATCGGCCTAGCAGAACTTTACTTTAAGTATGATGTCCGTATGTAGATATAAAACTCAGAATTAAGTATGATATCCATAGGTAGATATAAAACTCAGAATTAAGATTGATGTCCGTAGGTAGATACACAACTCAGAATTAAGTATGATATCCGTAGGTAGATATAAAACTCAGAATTAAGATTGATGTCCGTAGGTAGATATAAAACTTAATGTACAAAATTCATTAAAATAAATCAGAGAAAAAATTATTCAAAGTGAGATGCAGTGAAACACTGCAGCAATGAACCACCAAAAGTGAACTAAACTCAGGGTATATCACGTTTAAAAGCCATTTTAAAGAGATAGAGGTTTTCAAAAACTAGGGGGATGGTAGTCTAGTGGTAGGACACCTGGCTCGTGACCGAAGGGTTGCGGGTTTGAGTCACGTCACGGCACTGTGTTGTATCTTTGAGCAAGATACTTTGCTTCGCTTGTTCCAGTCTACTCAGCTGTAAATGAGTACATGGTTGGGCAGTGCTGGAGTTGTATATGCCTAAATGGCAGCACCGGCTGTATGCTCAGTTGAGAAAGATATTGGCTGGTTGCAAAGGCCCTATAACCACGGACAATAATGTGTGAACCACTTTTAGACAACCTATGAACTCCGTTGTGATAAAGCGGTATATAAGAACCTCAAATTATTATTATTATTGAAAACAACTACTGATAATTTAAGAGTTCTACACAATATACCCAGGTAATAAATATATTTATATGGGTTTTTTTTTGTTAACAATTATAAAACAAATAAAATTTGTCAAATTCAAGACTCCGATATCTGTTGTCTAAATCAATGCAAATATATTCACTTATGTACATATCAACTCACTATTGCATCCCTATAGCCAATGCCAAAACTTTATTATTTGAAAAGACAAGACATGAAAATTTCCATCTGTGAAATACTGACCACTACAGAGTCGTAAAACCTCCACATTCCAGGTCGAACATTTTCCTTCTCCGGTTCTCGTTTCAGGGCCGTATCATACTGGCCTTCAGGGAAGCACTGGCAAATAATCAGTATGTATAAAGTTAACACATAAAGTATTTTAAAGAGAAGATAATTTTTTTTCCCCCCCCCCCCCCAGATCTGATAATTTTGTTTAATAATCGTCGATATACGACAGATGTTTGCTGTGTTTCAATTCAACCTTTTATCTGATTGGTGCATTGTTTACCTTAACCAGAAACAAATCTGTTATGTATGTAACCTATCTGCAATCAAACAGCATGAACTTCAGAAGTTGTTTGACATATTTTTCCCTGTGACCTTGTAAGTACAATGTAGGTCAATGTCATTTTCCTTCTCAAACTTTGTTAGGTCTATCCCAAGAAGCTACCAGCTAGATTTAATGAATCCATTCCTTTTGGTTCTTTAGAACAAATCCTTTGAAATGTTGGTGACCTCTTTGACCTTTAAAGTAGGTTGAGGTCATTTTCATTTGGAAACTTTGGTGAGCTCTATCCCAGGAAGCTACCAGTTAAATATTATAATTGTATGCCTTTCAATTATTCAGAAAAAGTTGTTTGATGTTTTTGACATATTTGACACCTGTGACCTTGAATGTAGGTCAAGGTCATTTTCATTCTCAAACTTTTTCGGGCTCTATTTCAGGAAGTCACCAGCTAAATATGAAGGTTCTATACCTTTTAGTTCTTCAGAAGAAGTTGTTTGAAGTGTTTGACGCATTTGACCCCTGTGACCTTGAAAGTAAGTCAAGGTCGTTTTCGTTCTCAAACTTTGTCTGGCTTCTACCAACGAAGCTTTCAGTCAAATATCATGGCTCTAGGCCTGTTTCGTTTTCCAGGAGAAGTTGTTTAAAGGAAAAGTTGACGGACGCCGACGGACGCCGCACTTTGACATAAGCTCACTTAATTACCCTTCGGGCAGGTCAGCTGAAAACTCTTTTTGTTGCCTCTGTAATACTTAACAAAACTGAACATTTGATAAAGTTAAGTAAAGTTGTATTTTTACTCTTGGCTTGTGGCTCAGTGTACTGTGATGTGAAGCTGACGTATCTGAAGATATACTCAGCCAAAAAAGAAAGCTTAACATGTTGCCCTGCAGAACTCGTCAATATCGTTGACTATAGAATGACATTTTAGTGGTAAGTGAGTTTGGAAGGAATATCTGTATCGATCAGCAGGGTTTTGAATTTAATCAGTCATGCATAAAAATTGCTAATCACCCTGTAGTTTCAAATTGATATGTTCATTTGTCTATTATTTACCACAAAGGACTAGCCTAAATTAAAGCAGAGTATACACATCCTCAATACCCTTTCCAGGTGAAACTTCACTTTAAGTTTTCCTTTTTGGCAATGCCCTGGACGTTTTAAGTATAGAGACAGAACCAGCTATGCTCCAAGTAGGGGTGACACAACGTGAAGTTGCAGGGCGTTTTAGGTGTAGCCTTAAAACAGTAAACCAGTTATTGAATGGCATCAGCGTGAGACCGTCCAAGAAGCTGTAGACGATAAGTTATCACCCCTGTAAGACCGCAGGGTACGGCTGCAGCATCTCTGCCACTGGTTTGTTCCTGCCAGCTGTTACATTGGTCGCTGTGTAAGTGGCCAAATGATAAGAAACCGTTTAAAATGCATTGCATGCACGGGAGAAGACCTTACACTGGCCCTGTGTTAACGTGATGTCATATCATACCAATCAACTTAATACTGGCCCTGTGTTAACGTGATGTCATATCATACCAATCAACTTAATACTGGCCCTGTGTTAACGTGATGTCATATCATACCAATCAACTTAATACTGGCCCTGTGTTAACGTGATGTCATATCATACCAATCAACTTAATACTGGCCCTGTGTTAACGTGATGTCATATCATACCAATCAACTTAATACTGGCCCTGTGTTAACGTGATGTCATATCATACCAATCAACTTAATACTGGCCCTGTGTTAACGTGATGTCATATCATACCAATCAACTTAATACTGGCCCTGTGTTAACGTGATGTCATATCATACCAATCAACTTAATACTGGCCCTGTGTTAACGTGATGTCATATCATACCAATCAACTTAATACTGGCCCTGTGTTAACGTGATGTCATATCATACCAATCAACTTAATACTGGCCCTGTGTTAACGTGATGTCATATCATACCAATCAACTTAATACTGGCCCTGTGTTAACGTGATGTCATATCATACCAATCAACTTAATACTGGCCCTGTGTTAACGTGATGTCATATCATACCAATCAACTTAATACTGGCCCTGTGTTAACGTGATGTCATATCATACCAATCAACTTAATACTGGCCCTGTGTTAACGTGATGTCATATCATACCAATCAACTTAATACTGGCCCTGTGTTAACGTGATGTCATATCATACCAATCAACTTAATACTGGCCCTGTGTTAACGTGATGTCATATCATACCAATCAACTTAATACTGGCCCTGTGTTAACGTGATGTCATATCATACCAATCAACTTAATACTGGCCCTGTGTTAACGTGATGTCATATCATACCAATCAACTTAATACTGGCCCTGTGTTAACGTGATGTCATATCATACCAATCAACTTAATACTGGCCCTGTGTTAACGTGATGTCATATCATACCAATCAACTTAATACTGGCCCTGTGTTAACGTGATGTCATATCATACCAATCAACTTAATACTGGCCCTGTGTTAACGTGATGTCATATCATACCAATCAACTTAATACTGGCCCTGTGTTAACGTGATGTCATATCATACCAATCAACTTAATACTGGCCCTGTGTTAACGTGATGTCATATCATACCAATCAACTTAATACTGGCCCTGTGTTAACGTGATGTCATATCATACCAATCAACTTAATACTGGCCCTGTGTTAACGTGATGTCATATCATACCAATCAACTTAATACTGGCCCTGTGTTAACGTGATGTCATATCATACCAATCAACTTAATACTGGCCCTGTGTTAACGTGATGTCATATCATACCAATCAACTTAATACTGGCCCTGTGTTAACGTGATGTCATATCATACCAATCAACTTAATACTGGCCCTGTGTTAACGTGATGTCATATCATACCAATCAACTTAATACTGGCCCTGTGTTAACGTGATGTCATATCATACCAATCAACTTAATACTGGCCCTGTGTTAACGTGATGTCATATCATACCAATCAACTTAATACTGGCCCTGTGTTAACGTGATGTCATATCATACCAATCAACTTAATACTGGCCCTGTGTTAACGTGATGTCATATCATACCAATCAACTTAATACTGGCCCTGTGTTAACGTGATGTCATATCATACCAATCAACTTAATACTGGCCCTGTGTTAACGTGATGTCATATCATACCAATCAACTTAATACTGGCCCTGTGTTAACGTGATGTCATATCATACCAATCAACTTAATACTGGCCCTGTGTTAACGTGATGTCATATCATACCAATCAACTTAATACTGGCCCTGTGTTAACGTGATGTCATATCATACCAATCAACTTAATACTGGCCCTGTGTTAACGTGATGTCATATCATACCAATCAACTTAATACTGGCCCTGTGTTAACGTGATGTCATATCATACCAATCAACTTAATACTGGCCCTGTGTTAACGTGATGTCATATCATACCAATCAACTTAATACTGGCCCTGTGTTAACGTGATGTCATATCATACCAATCAACTTAATACTGGCCCTGTGTTAACGTGATGTCATATCATACCAATCAACTTAATACTGGCCCTGTGTTAACGTGATGTCATATCATACCAATCAACTTAATACTGGCCCTGTGTTAACGTGATGTCATATCATACCAATCAACTTAATACTGGCCCTGTGTTAACGTGATGTCATATCATACCAATCAACTTAATACTGGCCCTGTGTTAACGTGATGTCATATCATACCAATCAACTTAATACTGGCCCTGTGTTAACGTGATGTCATATCATACCAATCAACTTAATACTGGCCCTGTGTTAACGTGATGTCATATCATACCAATCAACTTAATACTGGCCCTGTGTTAACGTGATGTCATATCATACCAATCAACTTAATACTGGCCCTGTGTTAACGTGATGTCATATCATACCAATCAACTTAATACTGGCCCTGTGTTAACGTGATGTCATATCATACCAATCAACTTAATACTGGCCCTGTGTTAACGTGATGTCATATCATACCAATCAACTTAATACTGGCCCTGTGTTAACGTGATGTCATATCATACCAATCAACTTAATACTGGCCCTGTGTTAACGTGATGTCATATCATACCAATCAACTTAATACTGGCCCTGTGTTAACGTGATGTCATATCATACCAATCAACTTAATACTGGCCCTGTGTTAACGTGATGTCATATCATACCAATCAACTTAATACTGGCCCTGTGTTAACGTGATGTCATATCATACCAATCAACTTAATACTGGCCCTGTGTTAACGTGATGTCATATCATACCAATCAACTTAATACTGGCCCTGTGTTAACGTGATGTCATATCATACCAATCAACTTAATACTGGCCCTGTGTTAACGTGATGTCATATCATACCAATCAACTTAATACTGGCCCTGTGTTAACGTGATGTCATATCATACCAATCAACTTAATACTGGCCCTGTGTTAACGTGATGTCATATCATACCAATCAACTTAATACTGGCCCTGTGTTAACGTGATGTCATATCATACCAATCAACTTAATACTGGCCCTGTGTTAACGTGATGTCATATCATACCAATCAACTTAATACTGGCCCTGTGTTAACGTGATGTCATATCATACCAATCAACTTAATACTGGCCCTGTGTTAACGTGATGTCATATCATACCAATCAACTTAATACTGGCCCTGTGTTAACGTGATGTCATATCATACCAATCAACTTAATACTGGCCCTGTGTTAACGTGATGTCATATCATACCAATCAACTTAATACTGGCCCTGTGTTAACGTGATGTCATATCATACCAATCAAC